CAGCAATTCACGTAAAAATATATTTTACAATCTTCATGTAAAAAGAAAGATAAAAAAAAAGTAAAGCTAAAATTTCCTTTTACATATTTGCAAATAACTTCACCTTCTTGTTGAAGAGCAGCAATTCATTTGCCTTGCCAGGGCCCATGATCTTGGGGAAGGTATAGGATGAGCACCCTTCAGGAGACTGGCCGAGGTTACTAAATGGTGTGTTGAAAGTCGCCTGGGAAAAATGCAAGTTTTAGAACACATCTAGTGACTGGTGACACGTCTCTACTTCAAATCTTTAACCCCAAGATGATGGCTTTTACCCACGCTATACCAACCCACCTTGTCTGTGGCATAGACGGCATCATATAGTCCCAAGACTGTAACGGACACACCAATAGCATGGCCATTGATGACTGCGATGAGAGGCTTTGGGAAATCGATGAACGCCGACACGAACCTGGACAGGGGATCAAGAGTATTATACAAGGAATTTTGGATAAAAAGATATAAAAAATAACGAGGGTTATATAAAAATGTATATCATTTTAAATTACATTATTCAAAAAGAGTTTCTATCCTTTTACTCATATTACGACAAAAAATAAAAGGATACTGATAGGCTTTCAAATATCCTGATCTTCCCTTTACAATAAATAGAGGATGATAATGTTAAACATGCTATGAAAATGAAACTGTACAACATATACAGAAATAAAGAAACATCAATACTTATGCTTTTACCTGTTGAGCAAAACTCCTGCATTTTTCGAGTGTTCATGCATGTTCTCTGGAGAAATGTTGGCAAAGTTGGAGAGGTCATTGCCTGAGCAGTAGTAGTTGCCTGCTCCTGTTGTCACTGTGATGACCGTGGCTGGGTCTTCTGCAGCTTCTTTCAGGGCCGCAATCCATTCCTCGTACATCTAGGACAAACTTTGTAAGGTGAGTGTTTTGAATTCATTGCTAGACTGGCAGTGTAATTAATCTTATCAATTACTCTATACTTTTTTACTATGTGGACAAATGAGTACAAACGCATATCACATACAAATGTATCTATGTGGTATATATACATCCAAACATACATACATGTCCTCACACGCAAGCAAAACCACAGTCACTCACACTCAAAGACAAAACCTCAAACAGCCTGAAATCTGAAATCAGTCACGTTTCCACATCATAAAATCAAATACATCCAGTTATCAACCTTATCACCAATCAAACTCTCACCTCGACCGTGATAGCGTTCATCTTGGCTGGGCGGTTTAGGGTGATGGTCCTCAATCCATTCTCGCATGTTACTAGCAAGTTCTTATATTTCTGACCCGATTCAGCTTGTGCTTTGGCTTGCTCTTCCTGTAAGAGAAGTTATAATTGTTATTAGTATTAGTGTCATCATTGCTGTCATCACCACCACCATCATTATCATTATCATCATCATCATTACTTTTATTAACACTATTAACTGATATTACTAATATCCTTTTCTATTACTGTTACTGCTACCATCATTATCATTATTAATAACTTATTATTGTTATTACTATTACTTAATATTAACACTACTAGTTGTTATTATTGCTATTATAATTATCATCATCACTATTATTACTATTATAATTACAATAATTTTTACTATTATTATCATTATCTTTCATTATAACCATTGTTATTTTCATTACTACAATTATCATCATCATCATCATCCTTATCACTATCTTAATTTTTAATATCATAATCTTTACTATTGCAACCATTATTACTACAACTAACATTACCAAAATTATCATCATTATCATATCATCCTCACTAACACCATTATAATAACTCCTATTATCCTCAATTATTCCTAACACCATTTTCACCCTATTTTCTTGGCTTATAATAACCATCACCATCAACTACACGCAACCTACCCCTTCATTCCGCCAACCGACTCACCTCGGCCCCAGCCAGAGAATTCACAAAGTTGATGTAGTTCTTCTGTGCTTCCTCCTGGCTCATATTGCCGAGGCTATTCCAGGCATCCCACTTTGCCCTGCCCACGAAGTCCATCATGCCCGGCCTCTTGGTATTCACAGCCCCAACAGTGGCTTGCTTGAACAGAGCGTAGATCTTCAGCTTGGCCTCGTTGCCTAAAGGGAGACAGCGGGATTACCAGTTAAATGTGGATGTGGATGTGGTTGCTGATGTTGATGTGGATATGGATGTGGCACAAAAAAAGACAAACTATTAATACTTAATCAATTCACTTAATAAAATTAGGAATAAAAAATATAAAAACAAATATACTATTTACCTGGGTCTTCCGACAGAGTCCCAAGCCTGGCCTTTGCCGACTCGAACTCTGGACTGAGGGCACTCATCAGCCTTACTTGTGTTGCCGCAGCACCCCATGCTGGAGCAAGCTGGTGGGAGGCCACACCAAAGCCGGCCCCAATGCCTCGTCTGGGGGAGAAACGAGAGATGCTGAGCAATGTTGCATTGAAAATTGTGAGTATATTATTGTATTTCTGTATTTCTGTAACAAAACTGCTTTAATCTTTATAAAAAATAGACTTTAATAACCATCGCAGTTTGATATCTGACCCCATCAAGTGCCCCAAATCCCAAAAAAAGTGATTAGAAAGAAAGCAATCCACACAGTGGAGGAAAGTAAAGGAAAGTTTGATGTTCCGAGATATAAAGATATTTGATGTAGGTCTATCTTGCCATTCATATTGAGGTGGAAAGAATGAATCCTGGGGGATGTTGGCTCCCCATCAACCCTTCCCTTGGGCAGCACCCGAAGAGCACACCAAGTCACAGCAACTTAGGCCCGTACTTTTAAAACCTTCGCCAGTGCTGGCGTTCACCTGGCGAACCTCTGAGTGAGAGAGGCCTTACTTTTAAACCCAACGTTCGCCAGGCGCTAACATCTTGCATTCCCGCTAAATCTAGCGCAAATTTGTTTACATCTGCAGTGCACATAACATAACAAACTTAATTATTAACCTCGAGAGGAGACGAAAATGTTATTTCCGCAATAGTCTCACTTTATACTATAACAAAGAGTTAAAATTTTTATGCTATAACAAAAAGTTGAAAATATCTTATACTATAACAAAATTAACTTTATACTTTATGCTATACTACACTTTATACTATAACAAGGTTAACTTTATGGCCCGTACTTTTAAAACCTTTTGCTTTTTCTCGCGTTTTTTTCATTCGCCGAAGCGCTAGATTTATCAGGAATCCAAGATTTAGCGCCTGGCGATCCCTTTCGTTCGCCAGGCCTGGCGAACACCTGCCTTGGTTTTAAAAGTAAGGCCTCCCTCACTCAGAGGTTCACCTGGCGAAGCTTCGCCAGGCGAACGCCAGCATTGGCGAAAGGTTTTAAAAGTACTTTATACTATACTATATCAACCTTATGCTTTTATACAAAAAATAACTTTATACTTTAACAAGAGTTTAAAAATTACTATTTTACTATTCCTAACTGATGTAAGATATTGAACTGTAGGCCTACAAGGGTATCATTAAACACGCCTCATTATAGGGCGGTGGAGCACTACAGCTATGTTTCTATAGCCAAAAGTAAACACGCCGCCATAAAAAACACTTCTGGTAATATTTGTGAAAAGAACATTATCCTTACAACCAAAATAACAACAACCTAAATCTAAATAAGTCATCTCGGGGTGGGGGTAGGGGTAGGGGGGTAGGAATACAGCTGATGTCTTGAGCTCTCGACTGGAACATCGAAGGTCTTGAAAAAAATATGTATATACGTTATTTCATAACAAATTATGATTTTAAGATATTTTACGATTTCAATGTGATTCCTACATCCTATCATACACAAATATGTTACTAATTTATAATTTGAAAGCAAGAAAATGGTATTCAAACAACTCTCTTCGCCAGGCTGTTCCAATATGATCTTTCGCCAGCCCTGGCGAACGTTCGCCAGACGTCAATTTAAAAGTACGAAATTCCGGATCGCCCGGCGAAACCTTTCGCCACAGCTGGCGAAAGGTTTTAAAAGTACGGGCCTTAGATTGTTAGGCAAGGTTGGGTTATGGGTCAGGACATTTTTTTTTTTTTAATGTCTGAAAGGTGTGAATTCCTGTAGACTTTCCCAAAAGATCGGTTGGATTCCTGTAGAGGATTTTGAATTTTGGTGCTCATGTGTGTACAGTTTCATTAGCAGATTTTAAGTGTTTTTTGTGCTAGTTTTATGCATTTTTGTTCTCTATTCTTATTTAAGCCTATCATATCCCATAATCTCTCCAATTTACTTCATACCCTCCCTTGCTATCAGGATTAACAAATCAAGATTATCAGTGGAAATGGTATTTGGATCTCCTCAATGAATCAGTTGCACAAGAAACAACACCAAGAAACTTTAAAATCAGTGGATTTCTTGCAGATAAATAACAAAACTGTTTCAAAAGTAAGCCACTACCCTTGAATTCCAACTTCACTGACACAACTAAACAAAAAGTCCATCCGTATTCAAAAACCTGGAAGTGACTACGAGTATGGCAGAAAAGTCCCCAATTGGTGTTCTGCGCGTCTGAAGTGAAATAAACAAGAGTGTGGCATCTCAACATGAGAAGATGATGCCACTCTTCGTTAGGTTAGGTTAGGTTCAGTTAGGTTTATATTACCCAGAAACAACACTTATATGTGATTATGCGTGTGTGACATACACCTAATTGCAAGAAAACTGATACTGCTGGCATACACCTAACACCAGCCTAACATAAAACATGAATAACAATCACATTATTAAGTCACATCAGAACACCATTATTTAGAGTGTAAGACTAACAGTCGCATGTAGCATAAATGCCCTTTGCTGGCTGGGCACAGCCCATACTTTGTTGTTACTTGCTGAGACACATCTGCGAAAAACAACACATTTTCCAACTGGGGCCAGTCCAAGCTCTATCAATCAACCAATATAAAGGGTGGCAGTCCTATAATGAAGCGTGCAATGCATCGTTACTGGTTCGACATAATACTGTGTTTTCTTTAATAGATCACAGCAAGCATGGACTGGCTTTGGATAGAGCTTAAATAATAGAACACAAAGAATAGAAACAGAGACAAATTTCTCTTCGAAAGCTAAAGCAGGTAACTTCTGAACAATTACAAATAAATAAAAAACACGGAAGTGTGTAAACAAAAGTAGATCACAAAATGTAAAGCCATTAAACCCGTAAAATTCCGAGATTAAAACACTTGTTTACCCAGAAGAAAGCCAAACTAATATCTTTATCTCTAAAGTTTTCCGTCATATTAATCTTGACAAGCTCAAAGTACAAAGTATTAAAATATCCACATACTTGTATACAGAAGCGAGTCTCGTTGCACAGCGCAGAGAAGCCATATTCGCGAATAATTGACGAAAACTCTAATACAAACTCCTAATCAGCTGACTGAAGAAAACAACAACCGGCTGGTCAGAGAGCGCTAAAAGATAGAGACCGCTGAGTCAAAAAGTTTTAGAATATGTTTCTATTTTTACTTATGACTTTTAAAAACTACATATGAGATTCTTTTAAGGGGTGAATTATTTCCGGTTTTTTGTGGTTAAGGAGGCATATTCGGTTATTTGATGTCTGTTGTGTGATAGGTTTGTTGATTTTTTATGGTATAGGAATTAATTCTTCTGGTTGTTTTCGGAATACCAGTACAGAAAAAAGAGGGATATGAATCATTTCTTGATCCGAAATATTTTTTTCTCTCTTTTTTTGGTTCGTATCCCCCCCCCCCTCAATATGGGTCAAAATCTTTTCTCCATTCAAAAACATTTCATTTCCAATCAACAAATGGGGAAAATCCAACGAATTAGATATCTCATACAAACAAATCACTTCAGAAGTACGAATATACAGCATAACGAGACTCCCATCCTTGGCAAAGTTATGACACCAAAATAGGTTATGGCTGTGCTGATGGTGTATATGTAACCACAGATTCTTATTTCAAATATCGTGTTCCTCCTTTTGCGCTTTTGTAGATAAATCCATTGGGCTTCCATAGAGATTTAATGTTTTTGTTATTAGCATTGTCATTATTATCACATCATTATATCATTATTGTCATTACCATTATTATTATGATTATTATCATAATCATATTTATTGTTATCAACTTTATTATTGCCATGGATGTTATTATTATTAGAAACATCATTATTATTATCATTCTTATCATCACTATTTTTTTATTATTATTATCATTATTGTTATCATTATTAATATTATCACTATTCTATCATCATTATATATTATCAATATTATTATTATCATAATAATAATAATAGTAATAATAATAATAAAAATAATAATGATTATTATTTATTATTTATTATTATTATTATTATTATTATTATTATTATTGTTATTATTATTAATATTATCACTACTATTATTTTCATTATTATTACATATTATCAGTATTATTACTCATATATTATCATTATTATTATCATTATTATCATTATAACGATAATGATAATAGTTATTACTATCATCATTAACATTATAACAATGATAATTATTATTACTGTTGTTGCCGTTATCATTATTATGATTGTCATTATCATTATCATCATTTTCAGTCATCATCGTTATTGTTATCATTAATTTTTTATTATTCTTATCATCATTATCATTAGCACTGTTATTATTATCATTCTTATCATTATTGTTGTTATTATTAGCATTAGGTTATTGTTATTATTATTATTATTATTATTACTATTATTGTTATTATTATTATATCTCTCATTGTTATTATTATTATATCTCTCATTGTTATCATTATTACTATTATTATCTTCATTATTACTATTATCATATCACTATCATCATCATTATTATCATTATTGATGTCATCATCATTATCACTATTAATATCATAATTTATATAATTATCATTGTCATTACCTTTATTTATATATATACATGAGCACATAACCTCTCCGATCGGGATTCGATCCCTCGCCGCCGTTGCAGACAGGTATCTGCACGACGGACACTCTGTGCATGTGTGTGTGCGTGTATGTGTGCGTGTGTTTGAGTGTGTGTGTGTGTTTGAGTGTGTGTGTGTGTGTGTGTGTTGTGTGTGTGTGTGTGTGTGTGTGTGTGTGTGTGTGTGTGTGTGTGTGTGTGTGTGTGTGTGTGTGTGTGTGTGTGTGTGTGTGTGGTGTGTGTGTGTGTGTGTGTGTGCACGCGCGAACATATATAACATACGTATCATGTATGGCGTTTGTGCACAGATATTTAGCATATGCACGTAAATATAGGTATAAAAACAGCTCTGTCCACATCATTAATGCCGTATTTGGAAATTGTTATTCTATTTTTTTCCTTTACCGTTTTTATCTGGTTTTCCTCTCTGGTGCAACCCGGAAAAGCGTGTTTGTGGCGAACTAACTGCGATATCTCACAAGTCCGCGCAGGAGATATTCATAAACACGGACATACGAAATTCTCTCACACGAATGTTTTGGGGTATAAACAATTTTATATCTAAGGTACATGTTATTCATAAGTTGTGCGCCAAAACAATATTTACTTACGTAAATATAGAAATGTATGTATGCATGTATGCATATACGCTTGTATGTATGTATGTATGGATTCTCTCTTTCTTTCTCTCTCTTTCTCTTTCTCTCTCTATCTCTCTCTCTCTGTCTCTCCCTATGTATGATATATGTATGTATGTAGTGTGTGCATGTATGTGTATGCCAGTGCACGTCCCATGTATGATGCTACCAAGCTTGTAATCGTGTTGTGTTTCCCGTCCGTGCACTACTGCATCTTTCTCCCTCCCGTTAAGTGTCTCTTTCCTAATTCTTGCAAAGACCATCGTTGCATGAGATAAGCAGTCGAGGGGGGCGCGACGAAATTCCAATTATTTGAAAACCTTTAACAAGCCCCTTTATTTAGAATCGCCTAGATAGGCGCGTGTCACTCTCGACACAATTCTAAGATGCATAGTCAAGGAACAAGCACGCCCATTGTGCCACAAAGACATGGACATATATTGCAGATGCATTAATGTAATTAGCCACGTTATCAAAATATAGGTACATAAAACACAAGCACACACAAAAGAGCACACACACGACAAACCCACACACACACACACACGACACACAACAGCACACACACACAGAAACTCACATGAAGCACATACATACACATACACAAAGTCTAAATAATATTCAGACTTTACAAAGCTCAACAAAAAAACATACATCCATCTCATTTTATATCTATCTTTATCAATTATCTATCACTCATTATATCAATTACAATGTAAACCCACTTACTGCATGGTAATTAAGCAACAAAACCAAACTCATGTTTAATTCAACTTACAAAATATTTATCTATATTTGTGATGATGCTGATAGTAATAACAATAACATTATTGATATTCTCATCTCTGTTATTGTTATTTTACCTTTATCTTTATTGTCATTCTTATTCCATTGTTATCAGAAGTGACACTCTATTGTGTCTTTTCATTGTTATTGTTATTATTGTTGTTGTTACCATTGTGTCATTATTATTAATTATTATTATTGTCGTGTGTTATATCATTATTGCTATCTTTATTCAATTGGCACATTAACATACATCATATTATTGTTGTCATTATCATTTCTATTATTGTCATCAATACTGACATTATCATTATAATTTCTGTCATTATTACTATTATACATCATTATCATATCATTATTATTGTAATCAAAATCATTATTATTTTTTTATCATTACTATCATCAATATTGTAATTACATATTTTTGTCATCATAATTATTAATTGATATAATTATTATCATCATTATTGATATATCATATATCATACATCATCATCACCATATCATTATCATCATCATCACCTTAAATTATCATCCATTAACATAATTGCAGCGCACGTCATGTATGATTACGCATAAAGTAAATCGCAGCGTTATTTTCCCGTCCTACTTACTGCATCTTATCTCCTCTCCGTTAAGTGTCTCTTTCCTGGTTCTTGTCAACGACCATCTTCAATGCATAAAGAGATAAGCAGGCGAGGGGGGGGACTAATTCCAATTATTTTGAGAACCTTGCCGCCCCTTTATTTAGAATCGCGTAGATAGGCGCGTGTACACTCTCGACACGATTACTAAGATGCATAGTCAGGAACAAGCACGCATACATGTATGCACAGACACAAAGATACATATATTCGCATGCACATTCTTATATGCAAATGAACACGCACACAAATATAAACGTACGCATACTTAAAACACACCACAAAAACACATGCACAAACACACACAAACACACACACACACACACACACACACACACACACACACACACACACACACACACACACACACACACACAGAAACTCACATGACAGACATACACATACACATACACAAAGTCTAAATAAGTATTCAGACTTTACAAGCATCAACAAACAAACATACATCCATCTCATTTTATATCTATCTTTTATCAATTATCTATCACTCATTATATTCAATTACAATGTAAACCCACTTACTGCATGGTAATTAAACAATAAACCAAACTCATGTTTAATTCAACTTACAAAATATTTATCTATATTTGTGATGATGCTGATAGCAATAACAATAACATTATTGATATTCTCATCTCTGTTATTGTTATTTTACCTTTATCTTTATTGTCATTCTTATTCCATTGTTATCAGAAGTGACACTCTATTGTGTCTTTTCATTGTTATTGTTATTATTTGTTGTTGTTACCATTGTGGTCATTATTATTATTATTTATTATTGTCGTTGTTGTTATTATCATTATTGCTATCTTTATTTCCATTGGTATCATTATCATACATATTATTATTGTTGTCATTATCATTTCTATTATTGTCATCAATACTGACATTATCATTATAATTTCTGTCATTATTACTATTATTATTGTTATCATTATCATTATCATTATTATTGTAATCAAAATTATCATTATTATTGTTTTTATCATTACTATCATCAATATTGTAATTATCATTATTTTTGTCATCATAATTATTATTGATATAATTATTATCATCATTATTGATATTATCATTATCATCATCATCATCACCATTATCATTATCATCATCATCACCTTTATAATTATCATCATTAACATAATTATCATCATCAGTATCATTATTATATCTTGATTGTAATAGTATCATTATCATCATCAGTAGCATTATTGTTATTATCATGATGATGATGATTATTATTATTATTGTTGTTATCATTATAATTATCACCATTACAATTACTGTTATCAATATCATTATCATTATCACCATCAGCAGCAGCATTACTAATGTCATTGTTATAATTATTTTTACTATTATCATTATATTTATCGTTTCTGTAGTTGTCGCTGTTATTTTCATTATCT